ACAGCCCGTGTATACGACTCTCTCCAGACCGTAGGGAGTGGGGAATGGTGACCGAAGCAGCGACGGAAAGGCTCCGAAGAATCAGCACAGGCAGAAGAGCCTCCGAACTCCGAGGTTACTCAGTGCCATCCAGACACCAGAACCCACTGAGTATACAGAAGTGCCTTTCTTGACCCCGGCTATCGCTGGCTCACCCGCCTAGAGGAAGGTTTTTTGTCCTTTCGCCCTTTACCAATTTCATGCAGGCCACATGACTGACTTGCGACACCTTATTGGCCTTCTAGATGAGGACGATTCTAGACATGGAGTGACTGGTCCATGGTGGGTTTCGTTGTGCACACCCTGGACTGTATGATGAGAGAGACTGTCGTTTCCTTCCCCTCCCCAAACTGCTCCAGGGAGTTAGCAAGTGTTTCCAACAGGCCACAATGGCCAACACTTTGTCACCCACTGTGGGTGAAAGGTGGTTGCTCAGCCTTGGTGAACACGTTATGGGAGGAGTAGTAGGGAAGACGGCACAGCCGGCTTCCTTGCGATCAGCGTCGTGCAGCAGTCCTGCCTAAGATTCACACATGCATGAATCTTGAACCCCGCTGGAAGACCAACCTGTGCTTGCTTCCCTGCTGCTTTCCACAGCTGCATCTTAGCTTTTCTCCCCGCCTCTTCTCTCCACCCTGTCTGTTTAATCCCACACTCTTTCCTGCATGGAGACTTTAAGGCTTGCCTGAACAATGCATAGGACTCAGGAACCACATTGTTGGTCTTAGTGTTACTCATATCACAGCCTGTGTGCACATGCGTGTTCATGTATGGAGGTGCAGGAGAGGTGGGGAAGGACCAGTAAATTATTAAGGTGCTGTGGGTGAATCCTCCTTTCTTAAGATTACTCTATATCGTTCATTTATGTCTGGCATTTCTGGCATCTAAGTCTTTTATAATCTCTTCAGTATCCCAAGCAATCTCTGAGCAAACTTAGTCCTTGCTCTTCCATGTCTGACTGTGCCTGCCTGAAACAAAGAGGCACCAAGAAAGCTACTATGCACTGCCAACACCCTGAGTTGATTCCAATACTCTATTTGAACACCCACTCCAAACTCAGGCTGATGTGGTGTGCATCCCTGCTTGTTTGTTCATCATGTCTTCCAGTCAGTCAACACCTCCCTCCTACCTACGCTGAGGATGGAAAGATACTCCTGCAGCTTTAAGCAAGGGAGATAACGCACCCAATCTTGGATGAGTGTAAAGAAAAGAAGCCTATTTAGGTGCAAAGGAATTTGTTTTCCCCTCTGGGTTTCAAACTGGAAGCAACCAGCTCTCGCAGTCAGATCAAGCTCCTTTTTTCAGCCCAACATCCAAGGACAGTCTGCTTATTTCTCCCTTGTCACCTCCAGGACTGGGGTGGTTTGTCCTGCCAGGGAGTGAACTGGAGCAAAAGTTGCTGCAGGAAAAGATGACTCCTGGCAATTGATTGCAGAGACATGTTGTGGGACCTTCCAAAGGATAATTCCAGTCTAAAAGATAAAATACTTTGACCAAACATGGACTGTAATCGGTGCCGCTGTATCCCTCTGCTATGACTGTCAGATGCCCTTCCTGCCTCCTTTACCTATGGATAACTTATCCTTGTGGTGTCTGAAAAGATCATGTAGAATGTTTGCTCCTTGTACGCATGTAACCTCTTCCAGCCTTGACCCCTTATTTATGCAAGTAGCACCTTCCTCCCCTACCTCCCTTTCCCCAATGTCTGTGCTGTTCTAGCACCATTAACTCTGCATTAAACATATGGAATAATAAACTTAAAAGTTTCATTTTCATGTGTCTGGGTTTTTTTGATGTCTTCTCTGCAAGTCTCTGTTTTTCCCCCAGTAAGTGTGGCACATCGCTGCCACACGGATCCTGTGCACAGACTTCCTCTGCCTGTCATGAAGAGGACACAGGCAGAACTCTGACTGGCTTATCAGACTCCTTCACAGAGATGAAACTCATCTTCTGTTCACACCCTAGCTCCAGTCATTTCTTCAGTGAGAAAGTAGTAACACTGATTTCTGTTCTTCAGCTAAGATTAAGCACGTGCAACTAAGAAGAGTGCCGTTTCACACGTGCGTCACCCAAGAACTTCTCAGTGTGATTGTTAGCGCTCTCCAGAATAGGAGCATGGGGTTTCTCATCTTGGTTCCTCATCACCAGGTGGCAGATGATGTACCTTAAAAAACTTCCTCACATACACAAACTTGAGTATTTTGGAAGCAACCATTAGTTTCTCTGCAGAAACTCAACCCCCCTGACCTCTTGCCTTCTGCAAGCAAAAACCTAAATACAAACACATAGAGAGAGTATATTCAAGAATAGATGTATACACCTAATTGTTTGTTGAAGAAGACATCCTGGGTGTAGTCAGGTCCTCAGAGGCTATCTGAAGATGTTTGGAAAGAAAATGTACAGTAGATATCAGTCTGCTTAAGAACATCTCTCGAGGCCAATGGTAGCAAGGTAGGATCCCAATTAACACAGAGACTCCACAGCAATTACAAATTGATTCCAAAGGGTTTCAATGCCAATGCATGTGATCAATCCAGTGAGTTTGTGTGCACTAAACACTTTATGGGTGAGTAGAGTAATCAGGATGTCTAGGAACTGTGGGACATGTTCAGAGCTTTTCAAAACTCACAGCACTATTTGGATGAAGTCCTACATAGGGCCAAGAGCATCATCAGCACAATGGCTTAATGGATCTAAGACTGGTGATGCCAGCTAAAGAGCTGCATGCAGCACAGGACTGTGGCCATACACTGGAGAGAACTAAAAATTTCTACCCCAAATTACAGGCTGTGGGAAGAGTCCAGAAGGGAAGTACTGCATTGCTGAGCAGATCAGGAGCATATGTGGGAAAGAAGGGAAGCCATGGTGGAGTTAGGGTAGGAGAGCTGATCACAGGGGTGGGAGAGAGAAGGGAGATGGTGTGGATGAACAGAAGAGTGGGAAAAGAAAGTTCTTAACCACACACAAGTTCCATTCTCCAGCTCTTCAAAAATCAAATTAAGAAAGTGAGTGGGCTCTGCCTCACCCATTCTCTAGTGGAAGGCAGTGCCTCCTCTCATCTAGGAGGGTCCTCACAACTAAGACAGGACTAAGAATGCTGCTGGTAACAGAGGGGTTAACCACTCCTCCTCCAGCCTAGCAGGAGCTGGCCCGGCATCCTTCCCTATCCTTTTAATCGTATCTGATACAGATGCAAGGCTGGGGAGGGGAGGCGGGTAGGGAACAAAGAAGCCATTTAAAAAAATTTAAAAAAAAAAGACAAGAAAACGACCCCCGCAATCCACGGCAGACGCCAAAACGATTGCACAAAGGCACCATTTCAGGGCTGAAATTTCACCGCACCAACGTGATTAAAGGATTCCATGGATGGTGGGGGAAGAAGGCTGAAGGCCACAGTGCTGCAAATTAACCTTTTCTTGGTAAGGATGGCCTGGACCAGGAAACATTTGTGTTCCTCACAGTCGACTCTTCCCACACCTGCAAGCATCTTCACATTCCCTTCAAACTGTCATTTTGCCTAGGGACCCATTCAGCTCTTGCATTATTGCCTCCAAAACCAGCCCCTCCTGTGCACACCAACATAGGAAGGATGGACCGGTGCTTTTACAGGGAGTAGTAAGAGAATGACATTCATGGTTGGTTATATGAGCTGAGTTCCCAGGCAGGTGGATATAAACTTCCTTTGGGACACAGATGTTTATGTGCAGACACTGACCACACATACAGCATGGAGAATGCACACTTTATATATAAGCACATGCTTTAACACAAACTAGTTGGAAATATTCCTCCTGGACCAGTGCAAAGAGAGAAATTAATGTAACATAGGCAAGGCGTGCGTTCTCTTTTTGAGAATGGTCAGTGTTAGGTTAATGGTTCGACTAGATGATCTTCAAGGTCTTTTCCAACCTAGATGATTCTATGATTCCTCCTTCTTCTCTTCAAAAAAATAAAACAAAATTCCAAGAGCACTTTTTAATGTTAATTGAGAAAGACTCAGTATGTTCTGCCCAACAGCTCAGATCTTCATGCAGAAAAAGAACCTTGGAGCCCACAGATAAAGAAATGAGAAACAGGTAGTGGCTGGCTGGAAGCCCTTACAGATTGTAACACATCCACCCAACTCTTAGGCATGTAACCAGAGGCTAGACTGCAGGTACCTGAAGGGACAAATGACTGATCTTTCATCATGCTACAGATTAAAGGAACTCTAGGATTTAACTACTGTTGTGCCACTGTAAGAACCACCAGAGTGTGTACAACTAAGATGGCTGGAGAGCACCCACACACCCAGGACCATCATTCCCATCACGTGTCAGAGAACGGCCCTACAAGAAGCAGGCACAGCAAGAACCTATGAGTGCTGAACTGGTGGGGCTGTGAGTGGCGACTGTGCTTCCGGCTGGGGCAGTGCCACTGAAAGGGGATCCCCGCTTCTGATAAGCAGCAGGAGCAGGGAAACAATAGGTGATTTGATGAGAGCTGCTCTACGATACTCCTGAGAAGACCCACAGCCAGCCTTGGCCAGAGAGGAAATTGGGGGTTTCCACAGCAACCCGTTCAGGGCACAAAGGCCCAACTGTCTAGGGGGAACCAATGGAGGTGTCTCGGCACTCCTGTTTTAAGAAAGAACAGGGGTGGAGAGCTGCAGTCTTTCTGAAGCCAAAGTACCTGCAAGAGCATTTTTGTACAGCAGGAATTTAACTGGCTATCAGTCCTATAAGCAGGGAGGAGCAGTGCTGGAAGATGAGGAAGTAGTTACTGCAGTCCTTCATCTAGCTAAAAGGTAGGGCATTTGCAGGTGAAAAAAAGCTGCAATAAAGCATGGCACTTGGCTCCCTAATCTTACTACATAGCCCATGACCAAGCTGGTAGAAAGAAGCAAGAAAGTCTTCTCTTGGGCATGTAGGACTGAGATGAAACAGAAGGTGGGAGGGGGGAAAAAAAAAACCATGAACACATTTAACTTAAAATGGGGAGGTTTATAATTTATTTACACAAATATAAACAAAAATAGGAACATCTCTGGAGAAGGAAAGAACCAAAATAATGGCTGGAGGCTGATCAGTCCGTGATAATTAACTCATCCACACCCCAGTCTTCATAGCTCCCGTCTGGTAGGTAACGACGGATGATTATGGGGATCTTGCGTGCTCTGAAGGCAGGATAAAGAGATGAACAGAAATGCCAGAGACTTCACTATACCATTTCAGCAGGCAATGGGAATTGAGGTGCTTAGTGGCTTCAGTAAGCTCATCAGGTTTAACAGAGATCTGTGTAGCACCAGTGATTTGGTATTATATAGTAGAAGGAAGTCCCAACGACCTTCTCTCTTTTGTAGGTGCAAAGCACTCATCACCCTTTGGTTGTTTCAAGTCTAAGCCCTGCAGGTCAGCCCTCTGTTGTTATTGCAGGAATTGAGCCCCATGATCTGAACCCACTATGAGACAACACCAAGCATCTAACACAGATACAGAGGAAAAAAAAAATTTTAAAAAATCAAAGGACTTGAAGAACAAACCCAATTTTTGTTTGATGGAAAATTTTTCCCCACAATACACTACAAAAGTGGCAGAATTCTGAGAATGTTCAGTACAAACTGGTATTTACAGAGCATTTTTCACCCTGAGAGCATCAGTTACATTTTAAGAATGATACATAAAGTAGGGACTATTCAGGTACCAAAACCTGGTACCACTGGGGTGGAGCACAGCATCTGCTAACAGTGCTTCCAATTAGAAAGCAAGAAAATGTTGAACACAATTTAACTTAATGGAAGTAGATTTAAGTTAACAGAATGTAATCAGGCAGCCTGGAATCTAACCGGGGCATCAGGTCTCAACCTATCAGACTTGAAAAGTAATACAACTTCTTTATTAATCACATCCAGGGCCGTTGTTTTTCCAGTATCAAAAGTAGCTCCCCCATGCCAAGAATTACAACTGAATTTTGGCACAGAACAGGATGCCATTATACTTTGTCACACCTCTACTTTCTAGAGCTCACCCTCAGACAGTGACCAGAGACAGGAACAAGACGGAGGGAGCTGTAATAGATATAAAAATCTGCAAAAGCAACTGCAATGCACTGAGAAACTAGGGGAGAAGAGGGACAATTCCGTTCAAGAACAGAGACTTAATCATTAATGGAGTCCAGCTGCTCTGCTTGAAGGATACCTGCCTGTGATTTAGGTCACCAAACATTCAGGCAAACTGGGCCAGCAGGGAGCTCAGCTGTGGAAAGGTGGGCCTGTCACCTAAAAGCTGCCTCTGCCACAGTCAGAAATTATTTGTTTATCTCTCTGCAAGCAGAGGACATGCCTCCCCACAAGCATAATAATCCAAGTGTGCAAGGGCATGGGAAAAGAACATTCTTAACAGGGTCTCCACACCATCAGTCTAACCCTTATTTTATTTTTGGCCAGCACTTCATTTGAATACAGATCTGTTCAGACAGCTGCTTCAAGTCAGTTCCACTCAGGGAATTAAACTGATTCCAGAAAGATACAGACCTTGGAGTCTCATCATAGAAATAAAGAACACTTGGACTCCAAAGTAAAAATGACAGAGCACTCCTAATCATCAGTACTGTGCACAAGCAACTAGGATGGGAGAGAGCAGCTGCAGAGAAGTCCCAAGGTGAAAAATGGAAAGGCAACTGTAGTGCTTACTGTTACTGAGGGAAGACAAGCTGCTTGGAACAAGCTGCTAAATGCTGGGATGAGGAGAGGACTGCTGGCTTTATGGAAATCAGTATGCTCACTGCCAAAGTCTGGGACTTACTTGAGCTCTTTCATGGCAATCAGCAAGGGGTCTGTCTCTCCTTCCAACTCCACCATCACAGGGGCACACATCCTGGGACAGAACATCAACAATCATTTGAGCAAACACAGAGAAAGGGAAGAGGGACAGCTAAGCACATGCCTATCTATGTCACCTGGAATATGGCCAGTAAAGTAGGCAAATCTAGTTTGCTCTGTTATGCACTTCAGGAAGAAAATTTCCCCAAGTGGTTAAAGACTGAGCTTTTACTTGAATGTTCTTGGCCCATCCCTCAGCTTCTGCTGACCACCTGGTGCTCAAGAGCTGGTCAGATCCACACCCTTCTAGTCACCCTCTGCTGTACTGAAATGTGAGAAAAAGTCGTTCTAAAATTAATCCAATGAAGTGAGTGGAAACACTGTAAGATGAGCATGCCTCCCACAACTCCAAAACATCTCTTATGTTCAGATTTGCTCACACCTTCCAGGCTTTGTTTGGGGGGAAGCAAGGATTTACAATGAACTCTACCTCTAGGAAGAAAAAATTAAGCATCTTGCAGAGGGTTGTAACAGCAGAGCAAATATCCGCCCATTAGACAGTGGCAGCAAAGAAAGTTCACGTTATGTGTGGGTAAGGCCACTGGGGGCTGCTGCTGGCCTAGCTTCAGCACCAAAGGCAGAATATGTAGGTGAAGCAAAACTAGACACCAGAGTGTTTTGGGTTAAAGGCCTAGCATGGGCCCATCTCATCTCCCCCCTTTTTCTAGCCTTCCACCAGTTGGAAGAATGAGCACAAAATAGCTTCATAGAATGAAAACTGAAAAAAATAGCTTGGCAAAGCACCACCTATGAGCTTCTAAATGATGTAGAGGCATCATTTTGAGGGTGGATATAACCAAAATGAAGCTTAGACATGTGCTTTCAGACAAACCTTGCCACAGCCTAATAATCTCACTCATAAGGCAGTTATTCAAAAAGCACAAAACTTTTTGATATGCATTGTTAAAACAAATCTACACAGGTAAATGAATGAAGTTAAGAGAAGCCAGCCTTACAGCACTTAAAACAGGATTTAAATGTTGTTACCTATTATAAGCGAGGCCTCACTATTCCAAATACTTAAAAAACCCTTACAACTTGCCACAACGCAACTGCATTTAAAACAGATTTCAGGTTGGTTACTCCATTCCCAATTCCTACAGCTCTGTGGTATCAAATGAAGATGTTTTGGAGCATCACTCCCTCCAACACTCGTTTTTGTAAACCAGTTCTGAGCTTTCCAGCCCACACTGGCTCCCATATGAAAGGCAGAAACCATGATCAGCTTGTCACACTCCCTACTCACAGGAAAGTTCAGTGCAGCTGCTGAATGCCCCCCTCTCTAGCAGAAGTACCACAGTCTCAGCCAAGGAGAGATATAGAGACTTCACATGCAGCTAAAAGCTTCGCGGTCCTGTGCTTTAGTGTTGACCAAGATAGCAATCTACAAGCTCAGCAGTCATGGAAGGGATTATGTGAGATAGAGTTCTTAAGGAAGGAGGAAATCTGTTTTCACTGGGAAGGGAGGAGAAGCTGTGGTGACACTCATGATACAGAGTGAAATACTCACGCTATCTGGAGGGCGCGAGTGCCCAGGACTCTGGCTCGCTCGTATTTAGTCATGTAGGGGGTAGTGATCCGCTTCTGGTTCGCCTGCTGCCGCTCTCCCGAGGGAAGGATTTCCACATTCTCCTGTCCCTCCTGGGGAAAGGAAAGCAGCTCTGCACCTCAGCTGCGCCCACCACCGAGGCCCCACGGTGCCGGGAAAGTCCCGGACACTTTCCCAGCCCCAGCGATCGCCCAGTCAGGCCGCGATCCAGGCCCGCGCTACCGGCAGAGCCCGCCCGGGCCGGCCGGCGCGGTGGCCCGCAGAGCACCCACCTCCTCCGCGTTCTCCAGGTCCTCCAGGCCCTCATCCTCCTCCACATCGTCGAAGTCGTCCCCGTCAAAGCTGCGGGAGGGACACGCACGTCGCACACCTGTCTCTTATAC